CTTTTAGATGCTTAAAAATGATATACTGTGTAATGGTTGTTTTTTAAGGCTATTAGGGTCAAATACAAATATCTTTCCCCTAGTTTGTAATATTACTGAGACAAATTACTTGTATTTAGAAATGTACTTGGTAATAAACCTGTTTCTATTTCTGATAGAAATAATATGCCATGCTATATGCTTGGTGTAGACCTGTAATGATAAGGAGTCATATGGCAAATGCCTTCTTTGTCAGACAGTAACTGTTTAGAGTGATCCCGGCTTACTCATTATGGCTTTGAAGAGATTGTAAGTCATGGGTGACTGACTTCATCACAGCTTAGTTTCCTCTTTATTATTTATGTGTGGTTATGCTTTCATGAAAGCACAATTAGCAGCTAAAACTGAGAAGAGTTGCCTAGAAACTGAGCGCCTTTTGCCAGCTGGTGGTCTACAATAGATGCCAGGTGTTCCTGTTTTTGTTTTCTGTCTCAGTTTCTGTGATTATGCTGAGCTAAAAAGAAGAAGAGATTGCAGTTTTATTAAAGGAATTAGGCCAGAGCGCAGTGTTTGAAGACAATTGGTAGGTTTTCACCACTTGAAATGGAATTCATGTAATCTCTTTTCTGTCCCTTGGCAGAACAGAGCATTTCATCCATTTGTTTTCTATTGTAGCTTAATGCTAATAACCATATTACTTGATGGCCTCAGTAATATGGCTCACTTTAAAAGCTACCCAGTGTTGTGTTTGCTTGCTGATAATCAGATTGCATGGCAATTGTCTGGAATGCTCAGGATTTAAATGCTGCTGTTCTTAAATGTATTATGTGCATTTGACAGTGTAGTACAGATTACCAGTACCCACATTGTTTATATGACAGCCATATTAAGAGACTTGGCTTCCTTTTCCTTTTTTTTCTTACTTGTGCCAGTGGTGTTGGAAGAGGCACTGAGCAAGGCCACCAAGAAGCATAATCTCCACTCTCCTTCGACCTCAGTAGCTGACCAAAGATGTTCAGAGTTCACCCCGGAGTTCAAAAGAATTTCATAATTGAAGCACAACCACTGAGCTCAGCCAACTATTAGTTCTTTGGCAAGAATTCCTTTTGTCTTAACCACTGCACTCTGTGTCAGGAAGAATTACAGTTTCTTTTTTCAAGAAACAGGTTTGAACAGTGTTGAATTTCCCATGCTTTACCAGATGGAAACATCTATACTGTTCAGTGGTTAAACAATCAACAGGGAACAGTTTAAATTAATTATAGTCTTTTAACACCAGGATTGGTTAACTCTACATAAATCACCTTTTGATTAGATTTTGATTCAGGCTGGTATGATTCTATTCCCAAATCATCAAATTTGCCAGTTGTTTGCTGATATTGATTATTGTAGCTAAGAAAATGACCCATAAAGCTCTTTTTTATGATAAACTAAGCTCAAAAATATTTTACTGACAACAAGTGGGGGAGCAGCAGAAAATGTTTGGGAACCATTGGGCTAAACCATGACCAGAAAATGCACCCATAATCCCCTGTTAAATGTGAGACTTGTTTGGAGAACTGTTTCTACTCATAACCATTTCAGAAACAATAATATCTGTGTTACATATCAAGGGCCACATAATTTTGAATCCAGAGCAAAGTTACTTTTTATTGGTTAAACATAACCAGTCTGTTTACTGTGGGTTTATTACTGTCTAATGATCCGTGTCAACAACAGTCGGGCTTTGGCTCCTTTGGTTTTTATTAGTTTTTCAATACTCAGTATTTGGCGATGATGATTAACAAACTTGTTTTCACATGTCAATGGTTTCTAGTAGACCAAATGAAATTACAGAACAAATTGGTAACACTTTATTTTACATGCTCATTATATTAGTGCAGTTGGTTGTTTTGAGTTCATCATCGACCAACATATGAATTTCCCTGAAAGAGATTGCTCCATTTAAACCCCAGTGAACATTCATTACTTATTTGTTTATTATTGGAAATTGTATTCTTCATATGTGCCTAATTGTTTGTTTTTAGGCATATTTTATATTTTGCATGTTTTGCTCATTTGTGGACTTTCAAATAAAAGTCTCAAGGCTGAGCTGGCTTAACATTTACAGATAATTACAAGAGTAGCAAGGATTACTCACTGTTTACTTGTGACTTACTGTTGACTTGTGTGTGGTTCTTTCCAGGAAGCTTCTTGGAAGATTATTTTGTAATAAACTGAAATTTTAGAACCTGTAAAATAGTGTTGCAACTAAATCATCCAAATCATTATTGGCCATTTTTTTTATTCTGGCATTTTAACAGTAATTTTAGCAGAGTAACAGCTGTTCAAGTGCTTCTCAGAGTCAATTTCAGGCACTTGTATTGCTGGCCTCAGTGTAGTGTACAGTAAAAGATTCAAAGCTTAATTTGGTCAGCTGGATTCACACCCCACACCACCCACACGAGAACAGCCAAGACAGGTGCCTCAGAATGACACTGTAGTGTAATCCTTTGATAATCCTCAACCAAGCCCAGAGCTCAGTTTCTTAGTCCCAGTGCTAATAAACAAGTTAAAGCTGAAGTTAATGTGTCCAGTAAAGAGTGCAGCACATGTCCGTCTGCCTCAGGCACGTTATTGTGTGATCACTGGAAATCTACACAGAGTTCCTCCTCTGTCAGCACTGAGAGGTATGCTCAACACCAGTCCAAGATTCATAACATATTTGTCAGTCATTTGAATGTTACTCTTGCCAGTGTGGCTTTCATAAGGAGTTGGCATGGAGTTTCAGTTAAGAAAAGGTTTGTGTGACACACAAGCTTTGTGGTTTTTGGTGAGATTTCAGAATCCCTCTGTAAAGTCTTTCATGGAAAGAAAAAAATCATGGAATTTGGCATAGACTGAGGTTTGGGTAGAGATGTGTGTAATCTTATAAATTGTGTAGTTCATTTATATGCTTTGGGCTTTTTTTTGAAACCCTGGGCAAGATGGCAGACATTTCACTGTGTGGGTTTACACTCAGCAGCCTAAGGTGAAAGTCCTTTTGTTTACTCACTCTCTATTGATAGAACTTGTAAAAAAAAGCGCTGCATTGTTCATGTTCATTGTTCAAAATTTGAGTTGTGACGTTTTTCTCAGAATTCTGATTTTAATCTCAGAATTTTGACTTCTGAGTTTGAGCATTTAGTATGAGCCCACTATTCAGCCTAACAATTTAATTAACGAAATTCCAAGCCATCATAATGTCACATATACAACCAAAGTATCAAATCTCAAAAGGTCCACACAGTTTTGTGTTTCAGGAGTCAATTTAGAGGAGGTTCTGCATGAACTTGTTTGCACCTTTCACCATTTGCTGTCACTCCGAAGGAGGGTTGTTGTGCGGTCTTGTCTGCGGTCTTCTGTGTCTCCATAAGGCCCAGGAACAATGTGTGATGACAGCTCGGGTGATTACCTGTCCTGTCTCATTCATTCAGCTGGCCGGCAGCTTGGCCACATCATGCATCAAAAAGTGACACACAGTTATTACGATGTCCAGGCCTGACTCTCTGACGCTCTCTACACACATTAATTTGCTCTTCCTCTGAGCACCCTGAGAAATGGGCTATCCAAGCTCATTGCTGTATATCATGAAATATGAAGCTTCTGGGATGACAAGTCTTGAGTTAATATCAAATTTCATCAGGGACTAATGTTCAAAACACTCGGTTCCTCACAGATTAAGAGTTCTCATTCACTCATTCAGTGATTGACTGACTGTGATGAAATGTCTCACAGAGCAATTAGTCAGTAATACTTCCAAATTTTCTAAATCAATCGCCTCTCAATTAAAGTAATTAAAACCCCATCAAAAAATAAAATATTGTAGACTACAGTACATTCTACATCATATATATATTGTGTATTATGGCACAGTTTGCAGTTTCCTGGTTTTTAATTTATCTACATAGATATTAAGCTAAAATGCTATTCAGTATTCACTGGGAACTATTCGACGATTATTCTAAGAGTGCCACCCCTTAGTAGCTACGTTTAGTTAGGTTGTACCACTATTTGAGATCTTTCAGTCTGAACCAAAATTTTGGGTATCTGCAGTGAAAAGTGATTTCGGTTTACATATTATACTCACTTTGGAACAGTAAGTAGATTGGAACAATTATTTCAAGCATGTACAGGTTTATAATCCAATGTGTGAGTTGTTATTTTATATTCTAAGTCTCATTGAATCCAACATTTGCAGCACTTTCCTGAGCACGGAGTGTTTCATACCCAGCTAATAAATGTATGGTGTTGGCTGCAGCATGGCATTCCTCCTGCAGTTCAGTGCTAATGATTTGGAACACTTTAATGTCAACTGCCTCGAATAAAGATCTTTAAGACTGGTGTCACTGAGGCCCTTAAATCACCATCAGTCTTCCTCTCACTGTCTTTTCCACCTACACACTTTTCTGCCTCCAGTTCTCTCTCATGCTTCCCCTCAGCTGATCTCAACTGAGCCCCCATTTCCTGTCCTTTTCATTTTCCAGGTAGACCCAGTGTCTCTTCGTTGCTGTCATAGTGTGTCAGAATAGGTGGAATCAATTACTGACCCTCAGCAGCACACTCCCCACCACAACTAGCTCTTTAATTGAGGGAATTAATGAGTGATCAGCCTGTGAGATGATTCGGTGTCACGGATCTCACTCAGCTGTGTGCGAGGGAGGAAAGCTGGGGAAGGGATTGTTTGAGCAACCCTGCATAACTAATTTTGTCCTTTCACAGAGTCAGTACACATCCCCCCCCCCCTGTCCACTAATCACCTCTAAGATTGAGGAAAGACACAGTAGTGCATTAAAACACTTCTGCAGCTGCTATATCACACTTTCTGTAATGAGGATCGCTTTTAAGTGCAAAATACCAGGACGTTCAGTACTTTGTTGATTTCCTCTCGCTGTGGCATCCGGTAGCTGTATCTTAACATCTTCTTTGTGCATGTTTATACAGTGGTTCTGAAGTGTCTCATTTGTATCTTTCTCTCTCAACCCCCACTTCTTTCTTCACAGATGGAATCTCCTGTGTCCACACCAGCCCCTCCCCCCCTCCACCTCCTGGCCACAGTAGGCAACAGTGAGATTGCCTCGCCATGTGAGCAGATAATGGTGCGCACACGCTCGGTGGCAGTAAACACATCCGACGTGGCTCTGGCTACTGAACCCGAGTGCTTGGGACCCTGCGAGCCTGGTACCAGTGTCAATCTTGAAGGCATTGTGTGGCAAGAAACTGAGGATGGTAAGTTGATATTTAGTGACTCTCTTCCCAGTCAAACAAATGAATCCTGGCTTTAAACATGTAATAATTGTTAGTTTTTATTTACATAGCCATTAAGACAAGGTATTGGTTTATCAAAGTTTTTAGTGAAACCGCTGTCCTTTAAAAATTGTCATCTTGCTGCCCTTACCATACATATTCTGCCAGCTAATGTATATGCGATATGCTCTGACTGCCTCTGGAGCTCCTGGTACTAATGTGTGCTTTAACACCACACATGCTGTATAATATTGCCAACAAGCACAGTAGTTGGCAGGCAGTTCTTCTGTGGCCTTGATTTGTTTTTTACTTGCAAGTATACAGGCAGGAGTTTGTTGCACAGAGATATCAGCACTAAACAGCAACATACCTCATATCACAAAGCACTTTTTTGCAAGCCTGCCAGTTGGGAATAAAGTTGGCTCCTCTCCTGCAGTGCAGTCCGAGGGAAGTCTTAGCCACTTTCAGTTTTCCTCCCTTTGATCGAAACTGCATTCAACTTATATAATTTTAAGATGTATCACTAGCACTGTCAGGTTCTGCTGGCTCTGAAAACTGCCCTGTATTTCTGTCATGCATGTGAGAAAAAAATGCAAACACCTAATCTTCAAAGCTGCTCTCGCTCAGTTGCTCTGCGGGCACGCTGAGTACAGATTGCCCACACATCCACAGTACTGCTTGTTGGTTCACTAGGCGAAGCTGAACAGGTCCCTACATCATCACCACCTCTCCTTCAGCCCTGGGCTGTGCCTGATTCACCCCTGTCCTCCTCTCTATTGCAGCTCTTTGCTGTTACCAAGCATCCAACCAGTCACCCCTTGACTCTGTGTCCAAGCAAACTGAGAGGGAGCGAGTGCAAGGCGGGGGTTGGGACATGGAGAAGCGATAGACAAGGCTGCTTCTGTTAGTGACACAAGCATGGCTCTGAGCCAACACCAGTACTATGTTTGTGCTCCCTTATATTCTGCCTCCCACAGAGTGATTGACCCTCTCCCCTCACCCTGCCCCCTTCCCTTTTCCCATCCAAGTCTGTCCTTTGCCTGCACTCACTCTCTCATAGCTGCTATTTTAGCTGAAAGAGCTAGTGGTTTGGCCTGATGGACCTGTCTTGTAATTCTTCTCTGTCTGGCTCAGTGGGAACGAGGCTGGTGAGAGCATTTGAGTGGTATGATGGAGAGAGAAGGTAGAGGATGTGTGTTGAGGCGAGGGGGACACTGCAGGCGTAACACACAGGTTGTTATGGCCATCAGAGCTGTATTGGCCAGCAGGGTTTCCAGAATCTTACCTCCTTTGCTCTCTTTGCCTGTTTGTATTGCAGACAAAAAACAACCCTGTACAGTTGGGATAGAATATCATGTGATAAGGGATGAAGAGAGATACAGTATTTGATTGCTATCTATGAAGTGGCCCTCAGTTGTCTTTTATATTTTTTTGGTGTATAAATGCACCTGTATTCTTTCATTTTTTGGCCTAATAATAATAATAAATTATAACAGCATAATAAAATGGAGACAGAACTTCAATTAATTATGCTGTTTGAAAGCACCACAGCTTGTTCACTGCTGACAAAGTCAGCTATAGTTTAGTGATTTAAGAGGAGACACTGCGGTGGCTGAAGTGTGTTTGTTTAATCCTTACATGATATATAATTGATATGTAGTTTTGGGAGTCATAAAAATGCCCATCAGAGTAACTGGAAATATAAGAATGAGTCTGGAATGAATTTCTGAAGGGGCATGGCCTTCATTGTTCTACATTTTGCACACATTAACAACACAAACGTGTATTTCTTCTACATCATTTTAATGGTATGAGTCCTGAACAACCCGCTGGCTAGTTTGAAATGAAAGTGACCCAGATGCTGCTTACATCCAACCACACTGCCATTTTGCTGTTTTTTCCCCAAAGAGACCTATGAAAACAGACTTCTCTCGTTGTGAAGCAACTGAACAAATGAGAAACAAATGAGGAAATCAAGTAAATCCAGACAGAGTACTGGGGAAGAGCAACAAACAGAGCCCCCAAAGACATAGCAGAGGCATTCTGATTAGCAGTGAAGTTGAGCAGTCCCCCACTTCTCTGCATGACAAGTCCCATACAGAGCTGTTAAGGCATGCACTGTGTGTGCACATTTCATTTAGCATGCCAACCAACAGCTGCTTCATCACCTCCGCCTTTCAGCCTTGTGGGAGTAAATAAACAACAGGCTCCCAGTAATTGTCTGTGCCTCACCCGACTCACAGAATGCCAGAGAAAGGGTACAGATGAGGCGGAGGCAAGCGACGCCTAACAAAAAGTGATCACAGAAGCTGCGCCTTTGATCGGAGCTGACAAGAATCTTTGCTGATGGGGCCAAATACATTTTTCATCTTGCATAATTTCACGTGGCAGACCTTACAGCTGAGTGTGGATAATGGTAATATTTAAATAGCAGCCTCAATGTATATGTGGATTTTTGAATGAATAAAATTACATATCTTTAAAAGAGCATACAGTCTGATGTCTTTAGACCTGTGTAGGAGAACAAATGGATAATGAGGTGAGTCTGTGCCATTCAGTCAGTCAGGGGGTGAGTGGAACATAGACAGGAGGTAGGGGAGAGGGCAAAGCTATGGTATTTTAAGGCCCGGCACTGACACAAATCCCTTCAGCACAGATGAGGCAGTGGCAGCTCCCAGGGTTGTGTCAGCAGAGTGGTGGGCCAACCCCTCACAGGCTTAGCATGCTGATACCTCCAAATGTCATCTCTAAAATGCTGGAGAAGTTTATTGCTCTTGAAACACAGCCCAGAACGCCTTGGCTTCTGCTCCAGGGTAGAGGGGACACAAAGGATGTCCCTGTGGTCAAACACTGCAACTCCATTCCCGTGCCTGCCCCCCACTCCCCAAGTTTCACACTTGCACTAACCCTCCAGTACATGGCAGGCTCTTCCCCAAGCAGGTCCCACAGCTTCTTAAGCTCCCTAATAGATAAATAATACCAGCTGTTTATGATAAATGTTTGTCTCATGGATTATTTATTCAACTCATATTACATCATTGTAGTATTGCAAGCACTGGCGTTAGCACAAGAGTTAAAAGCTGTTTGGCATCTGAATAGAAGAGAGGTCAATGTGAAATGGATATTCCTGTATAAACATTTGAGAGAGTTCCTTTTTTCCCCCTCCATTTCTCAAACAACTGAAACAAGAGTGACCACTGTCAGGAGGCCGGTAGGTCTCTGCCAGCCCAATGAGCAAGCAGAAGATGGAGTGAAAAATCAATCACAAAAGGCCAGCTTCTGTTAACACTAGAGGACATATTGACAAGACAAGAGTAAAAGTGGTATGTCTCCTTTTTCCTCTAGCTCATTCTCTGTAGTCTTTCATTTCCAATTCCTTAGCCACATTTGCTTTCCATGCTACCAAGCCAGTGTTTAACCTCATCTGTGTTCACTTTGCAAGAGTGGAAGTGGCCAATTTCCAAGGCAAAAAAGTAAGCTACCACACTGCAAGGAATTTGTCAATGGTTCTAAATATGTTGTTATAATACTACTCAACAAGAAACTTAAGATAAACAGTGGCTTCAGAAAGTATTCAGGCCCTTCAGTTTTTGCACACTTTGTGTTTTAGATTGAACTTTAAATGAATAAAACTAAGAAACTAAAAATTCTAACTTGACAAAAGTATACACACCCTTTATTCAGTACTTTGTTTGAGCTCGTTTGGTAGCGATTATTGCCTTGAGTCTTCTCGGGGAATGTCTCTACAAGCTTGGAACACCTGAATTTGGGCAGTTTATCCCATTGATCGATAAGCAAAATGGCACTTTTATCAATTTAAAATTAAATTTTCAATACAAAGCATACAAAAAGCGAAGGGGTGTGAATTCTTGCTGAAGCCACTATAAGTAACTCATTATATTTTGAGGAAGGATTATTTTCTTGTTGTTTACAAATTAGTCCCTGGGTGGTGTTACCATTATAGGGAACCTAGTGAAACCTGTTGTGCCAAGTAGTGCTCCTCATCATTTCTTTCCACCACACTGGACTCGCTTTGGAGGTGCATTCCAGGAGCAAAATTTTGGCACCCCTCAGGAGGTAGTACTAAAATCAAGTACCAGGAACGCAAGGGGGAGGATATGCGTGCTCACAGAACAGTCGCCAGTGATTGGTTAAACGGCCACATGTGCAAACGTCAAGCATTAGCATTACAAGCACAACTGACTGCATGTGTGAGAGAGGAGCAGCCCTCCCACCTCTAAACAGAGACCGACAGAGAGAAAATACAGTGGAAAAACAAAGCAGGACAGTTCACGTCAACCATGGAAGCTATGCTTGATGATGGTTAAGGGAAGTACGAGGTATACCGCTTGTTGGGTTCCGATAGTGGAAACACAGCACAAGATGACGCCTGAGAGAACCCATATCTCTAACAAGAGATTCTCATTGGCCAACAACCACATTTTTTCAAGCACTTAAATTGTCTACAAATGTTAATCAAATACCTTGAGGAATTGTAGGCTTTGCATGTTGATGTCATAAGAAATCATGTTGGCTATACAAAGAGGGCTTGAATAATGCACCTTTTGCAGACCTGTCTATTAATCTCAGCACCATGTCCTTTAAGGCAAAACACCAGAGGGTATGTTATAACAAAGGCATTGTTAATTTTCCCAGATGGCATTTAGTAGAAACTACTCTTTGTCTCACTACAAATTATTTACAGTCCAAATGCATATAAGATCACTAGAGCTGTAAAATATTTCTTTTTGAGACATTACATGCATGGCTGCTGTTTTGTGATCTACTCCCACTTTAAGAGTGCTGCATGCGGTTGATAATACTGCGACGATGTGGGAAGCATACTAATGCCTTGCTTTGCTTCTCAGTGGTATGAGAGAATTGACCTTCTCACAGGCTGTTATTTTTGTCAGTGGGAGTGACTTCACACTTTTACTTCTTGTGAACTGGAGTAACACCACAAATTTTCAGTTATTGCTCCC